GACCGCGGACGCGAGCCCGTCGTTCCGCGTTTACCGGGGGATGGGGGGCTCCGCGCCCGCACGGGGCCCCAGGAGTGAGGGCACCACGGGGTCAGGCGCGTACTCCCTCTGGGGGCACGAGGCAAAACCAGCTCTCGTCACCGGGGTCGTCACCGGGCTTCCCCGTCAGCGCGCGCCACGGTGCCCTCAAGCTGTGCGGAGGGCCCAGCGCTTTGCGTTATTGCCTTGCCGGCACTAACCACGTTGCCTGCTTTGTGCTGCCCCCGCCCCTCGAAATGAGACGCAGCGTATGTTTCAGTGCTCCCAGCTCCTTAAAATTACCTTCTCCAGAGGTAGTGACCCCTTCCTGGGTGGTGCGCAGGTATGCAGGACCCTGTGCGCTGTTGCCGACTGCTCTCGGGTATGTCATGACACAGGTCAGCAGCAGGGGAAGTTATTTGGGTTAAAGATGTTACGAGAAACGTAAATTTTCATCTGCTAACTTATTAAGTGCCCCTTCGCTTTCTCTTAGTCCTGAAGCAGTACCATCGGTTGTCTGTTGTGTGCTCAGAACTACTTGGATTTCGTGGGCCACCCGTTTCTGAAGTCATCCAAGCGTCTTTCCCCTCCCTCTGCATCCCCACCCCAACCCCACATGCGGTCTGAATTCTTCCGCACTCCCGCCTTTCACTTCCTGTTAGGACCTTACCTGGCCTCCTTAGTGTCTTGGACAGTAGCTTCCTCAGTGCTTTCCTTTCCTCCAGCCTTTAATGCATCATAGGTACGTAATTGTCCTAAACACCTTTCAGCTATGTTTTCTCTTGAGAAGCCTTAGTCTGTAGGATGTAGTGGAAGGAATCTGGGGGCTTTGGAGTACTAGATGTGTATTTAAGTTGGCTCTACTAGTCATTACCCGTGTGCCCTTGGGCAGGTTACTGAGCCTCTGTTCATCTGTAAAGTGGAGAGGAGACAGGAATACTGTTTTCCAAAGGTAAAGGATGAGGGATTCTGTAAGAAAAAGCTCTCAGAGCACTGCTTCTCAAACTTCTACAGTGAAATCAAGTCACCTGTGGACCGTGTTAAATTGTGAACGAATTTAGTAGGTTCTGGGTGGGACCTCCCAGGAGTGCAGTTAAACGAGCTCCCAGGTGTTGCTGATTCTGCTTTTAGGATGGCAGAAGCAGGCTGACAGTAGGAGCCTCTGCGTGAGGCTGTGGTTCTTCACAAGCTCCCGACTTGTCTTATGCTTGGAAGGGATGGGTGTTTTGGCTTCATTCAGCGTTTTGCATTCTGTCTGGCAAAGTCAGAAACTACTCGTTCAGGGTCTCCAGCGGCAACGATGCGCTGAGCTCGCAAGTTACTTGAGCAGGTGGGTTGCCCGCAGGCTTGACCCTTGAGACCAGGAGAAGTGTTTATTCACAGTGAGCTGAAGATGAATTTAGCTATTCACAGACTTTTATAAGCCACACTGCTAGGACAGCAGTTCTGTTCTAATGAGCTTCCCCAGATTTCACTGAGCCGCATAAGTTAGGGTGCTGC